GACGCTGCTGTTGCGGCGGAGGAGCGACAGGGGCTCGCCGGAAACGGGCGTGTCCGGTTCTGGATCTGCCGAGAAGAGAAATCACCTTTTTGAAGCTGTTGACGGCGACATCCGTCACCGCCGTTAACTCTGGCTGCTTCTGGTCTCTGGGTTGACTTTGACCGATGAACTTTAAGAACTCCTCTACGCCCTGAATCCCCGCCGTCGTCGCCTCCCGCAGGGCGGTTTCTTCGATCTTCCCCGCCGAGGAGGTCGCCGGAAACCTGTCTCCGCCGTCGCTTCTTCGTCCGCCGCCGTAGCTCATCATCAGCTCCACCGCCATGTCTCCAAACACCACCATGCATGTACTAATCCAACACAAATGACCCTTCGGTACTATAAATACACAGACTCGGGTTTAACTTTAATTAAAAAAACTAATCTCTCTCTCTCTTGATGATGATGATGATGATGGAGAAAGCACCGAGAAAAAAAGGGAAAAAACTAAAGCAGAGTCAAAGAGATGCGGTTTTTCCTCTCTGTAGATTATTGCACCAGTCAAACACTCGACCAATTATATCATTCCACGTGTCCCAATCTGTCAGGCATTGACCGTCTCTATGAACGTGTAGACAAAAGTGACGAGGAGAGAGAGCGAATAAAGTCAAGATTTCTACGAGCCGTTGGATCGATAATGGCGATTTCAATTATTATATATTTGATATTCATAACTAGATGTGACCATTTCGGTTATTAACCGAATAATCGAGACGAACCGAATCGAATAAGATATAATCGTATCCGAATCGAATTCGACATCAAAATCGAACGGTTATGATTTCTTTAAACCCCAAAAATCAAAACCGAATCGAACCGAACCGAATAAAAAATAACCGAAAAAACCGAGAGGATAACCGACAAATTCTTTAGAAAATTAAACTTTTTACCAAAACCGAACCGAACCGAAATTTATATAAAAACCGAATGGTTATAGTTTTTCTATAACCGAAATAACCGAACCCGAATATAACCGAACTGAACCCGAACCGAAACCCGAATTAGACACCCTATTCATAACAATATATATATATAATCTGAGTGGTAATTTTCAATTTTAACGGAGGGGACAGGATAGTGAGAGATACAGTTGACTTTAAACTGCTTTTAATGGAGAAAGTCTAAGCAAGTGGGGTCCACTTGAGAGAGCACGGGAACCTCCGTCAATGCCTTCCCTCACATGGGATTCTCTCTCTCTATATATATATATATCTCTCTCTTTTTGGAAACAAATTTACTTTATATATATATCTATATATTAATATTTCTATTTACCAGATCTAAACCAAATTCAGCCGTTGGATTCCATCCTTGTCCAAGGGAAAAACGAATTTCCAAAGTCCAAGAAACACTTAAAAAAATAATTTAAAAAGAATTCAGTTAAACAATCGATTATTAATAATCTAAATAAAATTTGTTATAACTACATACATTTTTCTTTTTCATAATATTTTATAATGTAAATTATAAATCTGTTTAAAATTGAATGGTAAATAGATAAATCAATAAAATTGATAGGTTTATAGGTAATTTACATAAAATAATAGTTTTTTTGGATTTTTACGTATATACACACACGATAATGGATAGTTACAACTTTGGCCAAAATATATAACTGAAAGATAAGGATAATAACATCAACAATTTAACATTAAAATACAATCAAAACTACGTGGGACCTCGTCGATTAACTGTAATCAAATTTTAAATTAAAAAAAATACAATATATTTAATTGGCATAAATAAAATTACGATATTGCGTTTTTTTTTTGTTTTGTAAAGAAGTTACGATATTGTTTGATTGACTCGGCCCAAGTTTCTCGATTTTCTCTTTTATAATTATAATTACATGACAAATGATGCGAAATAAATTCCCAAATTTTAATCATGTAAGTGAAACTTATGATGGAAAGTATTGAATAATCGTCATTTTACCGTTCTAGTGTACGACTTTTTCTATTTCAATCTATGCATTAAAAATAAAAAATAAAAATAAAAAATAGACGTCGTGGTATGAAAATAAGGAGATGGATGACGATCTCCTCAAGATATTTATATATTGGATTTGCTCAAAATGTCAAAATGTAATATATTCGTTAGTGATATGAACAATTTATTTGGTCTCAACCACTTTGTAGAACCTTTGCAATAAATGCATTTATAAATTAAACAAAGTCGTGGTTTAGAAAGTCCACGCGCATATATTTCACTTGCATATATATATACATATATATATCAAATTCAATAATTTTTTAAGAATATAATATTAGTTTTTTAGCATGGAAGGTTCGGTTTGCATATATTCGAAATGTATATGTATGTATGAGAATAATAATTATGTATCTATATATTCGAAAATACAAATTTAATTAAATATAGTTGTCTTTTACTAAATGTAAAATAACAGAAAATACGAAATTTTAAATAGAAATATTTTTCGTATAAAATTAAAACTAATATATATTTAATATAATTTTCAAAACGAGTAAAAACATAACTAAAACCCAGAATATTAACCTTTACCTTTTTTTCATGTATTTCACATAAAAAAAAATCCCGGAAATTTTGTGATCAGGCCAAGAACTTAGTTTCCTGCAATAAATTTGAACAATTTGAATAAGTTTTTTCTTAATGAAACGAGATTTTTTATAAGCTAATTTGATTTGCATTAAATTAACACTTGTTGGCACTTTTAATATTAAGGATATTATTGGTGGATATAAAAGTTATAAGCTTATTCTATGGGTTTGATGATGATACAAAATAAGTATTTTGTTGATATGTTCGTGGGGTGTAAAATAAGCGAAGATACGGTGAGATTCTACATTAATTTAGTGGTTGTCTAATGGACCCAACCTAATTTAATTGGTATTGGTGGCCATATTTCAAAAACTTTTTTTAAAAAAATGTTTATTACAAAACTAAAATATTCATTGTGTAACGACTAACGAGTGGACAACAAAAATATTTCATTTTAAAAATTTAATACGTTCTTCGCTGTCTACAAGCCATTAGTCAACATCGCACGCACGCGGACACGTAAACATACAAACACATTATTATTATCAGTATATATGTATGGATTGCTTGTAATGGTGTATGTATATGCGTGTATATATATATATTCGTGGGCCTATATAAAATGTTAAAAAGTGTTAAAAATTTATATAAGCCCAAGAAAAATAAATGGGCCAAGCCCATTACCAAACTCATGGAACCATTAAATCATTTGCTAGTTAGTGTGCCTCCGGTTTTTTTTAAATATATAGTCAGTCGAGATTTGTCATTTTATCACACATCCGAGAATTTTTTTTTGGAAAAATTGGTTAGACCAAATAAATGAATATATTTATAGAATCCAAATAATAAAGACTACTGCAGTCTATCGATGTATCATAAATATATTTATTAATAATGCGACTTTTACATCTTAAGAATTAATTGATCTAAAATTTTTAAAAGCATATTCATCCATGAGAAGAAATATATAACAGTTTTTTGGAGCTTTTCTTATTTTTTAAAAGGTTTTATGAAAAAAAAGAAGATTAATATTTATTAATAATGCGACTTTTACATCTTAAGAACTAATTGATCTAGAAATTTTAAAAGCATTCATCCATGAGAAGAAATACATGACATTTTTTTAGCTTTTCTTATTTTTTGAAAAGGTTTTATGAATAAAAATCTATACCAATTGATTATTATATTACATTCACTCGTTTCGATTCGGTATAGCATGGTTTCGTTTTTTATTAAGAAAAATTGTATATTTTCTTAGTAAATATTCAGCTTTTTTGAGTTTTTTAGTATTTGATTCAGTTATAAGTTAGCGTTCAAGATTTTTCGACGGTCCCGTTGGCGAAGGATACCGAGTTTTTGGGTTTGGTCGGACCGAATCAAGGGACGATCTTGTGGGCCCTGTACTTTGTCGATCCAGTAGGCGAAAGACTTGGTGGAGTTCCTGAAAGCTAGGAAGCCATGTTCCTTACTCTTGTTCATGCAATCTACCATTCCTTCCACTCTAAGTATCAAATCCACAAACCACCAGTTTCCCATTTCTTCCATCTTCGTCTTCTCCAACTCTTTCTCCTTCACTATCTCTCCCCATACTCTCTCTTTCCCTTCCATCATCTTCACCAATCCCACCTTCTCCCTCCCTTCTTTCTCCTCGAATCCGTACTCTTCGATATCGAATTTCTCCGCAAGAATCTTCCATAGATGCTTCCACTTGAAGACGTCTCCATTGTTGCAGTTGAAAGCTTTGTTCTTCGCGTACGGATCCGTCGCTGCCCAAATCTCCTGCTCCGCCACCAGATCCGCGTCGGATGCGACGGTGAATCCTTCCCACCCAGGGGAAGTCGAATCCCCGCTGCCTCCTTGAAAGAGAGATGTCCTGAACCACTAGACGATGGGGGCATACTTTTTTTTGACTCTGCACCAGTGATTTCACGAGAGAATCCGAAGATCACGTACGGTCGGTGTACGGACCATGTCAGCCCTTTCTTCTTCTCCACCTCCTCGAACAGGACGTCTTCTTGAGCGTAGTAGAAGTTCGGAATCGACAGTCTCGGCAGATCCTCTGTGAACGGCGGATCGTGAAAGGACCTTCCTGCCGCGTAGTGCTTCGTCCCTGTCTGGAGGCAAACGTGCCGGAGATTCGGCGCGTGAGGCACAACCGCGCGGATGACGTTTCTTAGCATGGCGGCGTTAGCCGAACAGTTCTCGGACTCGGTTTCGCGGTTCGTCCAGGTGACGTAGAAGATGTGGGTCACGTCGGTGAGGGGAGAGAGCTTCGTTCGGACATCAATGGCGTCGGAGACATCGCACTGAATGTACTGGATCTGTTGGTCGGTGGTCCAGTCCGGTCGGGGTCGGCGAGCTACGCCGTAGACTTTCCAAGGACCCCCGGAAGTGTCGGAGAGAGGGAGAATTCCGGCGAGGCTGTTCCCGACGATCCCGGTGACTCCGATTATCAGACCCACGCTCCGGTAATGAGGTTCAGCATCCAATTTCTTCTGCAAAAAAAAAAAAAGATTCTAATAAAAAAAAACAGAATTCGATTCGGAGAAGAAGAAATCGAATCACGGAGTTGCCTTGCCTTGGGAGCTTCGATCGTACTCATCTTCTCGATTTCTGGATAAATCAATATGAGATTTTTTTTCCTCAGATCGTGGAACATTTCGGAGGAGTTTATAAAGGGGGGAGATGGAGGGCATTTATGTTAATGACGGTGATTAGCGGGGTATTTTGATTAATTAAATATATTAGGCTAACCGAAGAACTTCTAGAAGTGTAAAAAATGGTTTCATGTTATAAATAAAATATATTTATGGTGGAGTCCACTGTTACTGTTCATACCAACTTACTATTCATATATACGGTACTGTTCACATCGATTGTATACGTGAACAGTAACTTCGGGATTTCTATAAAATAGACCACTTGATTCCTCCATTTATACACTTTTAAGAGAGAGATCAATAAGAAATAAACTTGTTCTCCATTCTTCTAAATACAGTTTTCGCCTTTCGGTTTATAGTTAACGATCTAATATCCGGATCGTTAATATTTCTATCGATTTCATAAGACGTTATCAGCACGAGCGCTCTTCCACAACTAAAGATAAGTTAACTTATCTTTAATACAAATATTTTCGTTCTTATAATATATACATATATTCATTGATACTTGAGTGGAGTTAACCCCAAGTTATATATGAATACCGATATTCTGTATAATTAATTTATGAACGGTTATGTCGTCTCGATTATTATTCATGTACGACTATGCCGCCTTGATTATTATTCATGGACGGCTATGCCGAATTAATTGTTAATTTGGACGGCTATGCCGCCTTAAATATTTATTCGTTATTGGACGACTGTATCGCCTTAATTATTAATCTAGACGGCTTTGCCGCCTTAATTATTAATTTGGACGGTTTTGCCGCCTTAATTATTTATTCGTTATTGGACGGCTATGGCGCCTTAATTGTTAATATTGGACGGCTATGCCGCCTTACTTATTAATAGACTATTGTGTTTATTCTTTATGGACGACAATGTCGCCTGAATTATTTTACTTCTGCAGACGATAATATCGCCACATATAAACAGTTATAATATCTAATCTATATAAATTAATAAATATTCATCATAAAAAATATTATCATATATAATATAAATTTATTGATGATCATTTATACGAAAAATTTTTGAACTTAATCTAAAAAAAACGTGTTAGTAATAAACTTTACAAATAAAGTTTTATAAATTATTTTATATACCGATAAATTAATTATAAATTATTTGTTTCCTCAATAATTAGTTAATTATATACATAGCATGATCAATTAATTTTACAAAATAGTTTAATAATTTATTTTGATAAATTATTTTATATATAGTTTTATGATATAAATTGGTAAAATTATTTATAAAATTTTTTAAAAAAAAATTCTCTAACAGCTACAATTTAAAAAAAATCAAAATAAAAAAAAAATCAAATTTTGGCTCATCTCTAATGGTTAGGAATAGTAAATTTTACCCTATAAATATATTCACCCATTCACTCAAAAACTCACACCAAATCATCCTATTCTCTTCTCTTCTCCCACGAAAAAAAAAATTCTCAAGATGAATTTCATCAAAATTCTCTTTGTTTTAGCCATTTTAGCAGCAACGTTTAGTATTTTCTTTGATAAAAATCTCGATCTGCTTTTATTTTCAATTTGCGTTGCGGTCTTACCTCTCGTCTATGTGTTACTGATTATAGCAATTTATAAGTAATCATGTATTTCACTATGTTGTATTATCCATGGAAATGAATAAAGCTAATGTATGGCGTATTTTTTTTTGTTTAGTCATAATGGAAAGAATGGAAAATATCGAGTTCGAGGTCCTCGACATATCGAGAAATAATTATTTATCATGGCAGTTGGATACAAAACTGCATCTCGAATCAAAAGGTCTTGGTACCATCATTAAAGAACAAAGTGCATCAAAAGAGAATAAAGCAAAGGCACTAATATTACTGCGACATCATCTTCATGATAATCTGAAAAATGAATATTTGACAATCAAAGATCCTGCAGATCTTTGATTAAAATTAAAAGATCGTTCGATCATAAAAAAAACGGTAATCCTCCCCAAGGCAAAATATGAGTGGATACACATATGATTTCAAGATTTCAAGAATGTCAGTGAATATAACTCGGTAATGTATCGAATCATCTCGATTCTAAAATTATGTGGAGAAACAGTTATCGAAAATGAGATGTTGGAGAAAACTTTCTTTACTATGCATGCCTCGAATATTATACTCCAACAACAATATCGAGAAAAAAAGTATACAAAATATTCGGAGCTTTTATCATGTCTCCTATTGGCTGAACAAAATAATGAGTTGTTAATGAAAAATTACGCATCACGACCGATTGGATCTGTACCATTCCCGGAAGCGAATGCTACAGAAAACAAGTCATTCCCTGAAGCAAATGCTACAGAAAAATCATCATTCCTTGCAGCAAATGCTATGTCATATAATGGTCGAGGACGTGGTTATTTTCAAGGTAGAGACCGAGGTCAAGGTCGAGGACGTGGTCATGGTGTTAGCCGAAATTGGATCAGAGGAGGTGGTAACGGAAACTCAGCCCAAAATTATAATTTTCACAGTAATAAAGGGGAAGTGCATGACCATCCAAATAAAAGGCTGAAAGAAAGTACATGCTACAGGTATGGAATGACGGGACATTGGTCGCATATGTGCCGCACAGCTAAACACTTGGTAGAACTTTATCAGAAATCAATTAAAGAAACAAAAGGGAAAGACATCGAGACCAACCATGCCATGAGTTATTATGATGATGATGCTAGTGGTGCTAAGGACTTTGCACACATAGACCTCGCTGATAATTTTGTACATCCTGAAGATGGAACTGGTTATGAATAAAACTATATAAATGTTGCATACTTCATATAATCGATCTTATCTACATATGCATAAATAATTTCATGATATGTTGTTGTGCTTTGTATCACTATTTTTACTTTATAAATTAATAATGATATTATGCATTATTAATATATCTATTTTTAAATGTTTGTCATGTTGTTTTGTTCTTATAAAACGAATAGGCTAAATCTGCGGATACCATATTGATACTACGAATGAGGATGACGCTGAGTATTTATATATCACCTCAATCAATTCGGGATAAAAGTATATGTTGGAAAAACTACCTATTCTATCATCGGGATTATATTATACTAATATCAATGTGATTGAATCACATGTTATAGTAAACCAGAAGTTTACTAATATCTTCAAAGTTTGGCATGATCGATTGGGTCACCCAGTGCCCTTATGATGAGAAAAATCATCGAAAACTTTTATGATCATCCATTGAAAAACCAGAAGATTTTTCAATCGGATGAGCTTTCTTGTGATGCATTTTCTAGAGGAAAATTAATAATTAGACCATCACAAGTCAAAATCGGGCATGAGTTTTTGGAAAGTATATATTGAGTACGATTCGTCATCCATTATACGATATCTTGATCCACAAACTGGAGCTATTTTTACGGCTCATTTTGCTGATTGTCATTTTAAAGAAATTGAATCCCACCATTAGGGAGAGAAAATTATAGAATGGTGGGAAATGAAAATGATCTTAATTAGTGTACAGCATCATTACCCCACTTTGATCCCCCTGCAATACAACGAGAACTAGAATTTCAAAGGATTATACATTTGCAAAATGTTGCAAATCAGTTACCTGATGCATTTGCAGATACAAGTAGAGTAACAAGATCGTATATAGATGCTGCAAATGTTCCTGTTCGGATTGAAATTCCGAAAGAACAAACGAAAGAAAATTCGACAAAAGATTCCAAAACACGCCTGAAGCGTGGATGGCCTATTGGTTCTAAGGATAAAACCCCCCGAAAGAGCAAAAGGCCCAAGAAAAATGAAATGCTCAAATTGGAGGAACGCGTTCCAAATCAAAGAAATGAAGTACCTTCTGATGACGATATAAATCCAGAAAATGGAAATTATGAGATCTCAATTAATTATATCAGTACTGGTACATTATAGAATCGAAAAGAAATCAAAGAGATTGATGATATATTCTCTTATAATGTATCAAAGAAAATTGATGAAAATGAGGATCAAGAACCCAGATCTATTTCGTAGTGTCAAAGGAGACCGAATTGGAATAAATGGAGATATGCAATACAAGCTAAATTAGATTCGCTTAATAAGCGAAAGGTATTCAGACATATTGTTATTAAACCGAAAGAAGTTTCTCATGTTGGACGTAAATGAGTATTTGTGCGGAAAAGAAATGAGCACAACGAAATTGTAAGATATAAAGCTCGCCTTGTTGCACAAGGTTTTTTCCAAAGACCAGGAGTAGATTACGAGGAAACTTATTCTCCTGTTATGGATGCTATTATATTCCGATACCTAATTAGCCTTGCAGTTTCAAAGAATTTAGAAATGCGTCTCATGGAAGTTGTCACTGCTTATGGGTCACTTGACACGAGTATCTATATGAAAGTCCCCGAAGGATTTAAAATGCCCAAAACATTGAAAGCAAAACCACGAGAGTTATGTGCTGTGAAGTTATAACGATCATTGTATGAGCTAAAACAATCATGACATATGTGGTATAAATGCCTGAATGAGTATTTATTGAAAAATAGATATACAAATGATCATATATTACCATGTGTATTTATCAAAAAGATAATATCTGGGTTTATGATATGTTGATGATTTAAATATTATTGGAACTCTCCGTGAAATCAAGGATGCATCCACTTATTTAAAAGGGGAATTTGAAATAAAAGATTTTGAACAAACCAAGTATCGTTTTGGGTTACAGATAGAACTTTTGAAAGATGGAATCTTTTTTCACCAATCTAACTATACAAAACGGGTACTAAAACGATTCAATATGGATAAGACAAATCCGCTAAGTACCCCGATGGTTAATAGAACATTGGACATTGAAAAGGATCCATTTCGTCTTCGCGAAGATAATGAAGAGATACTTGGTCCTGAAGTACCATATCTAAGTATAATAGGAGCTCTTGTTTATCTTGTAAATTGTACTAGACCGATATATCACTAGTTACCAATCTATTAGCAAGAATTAGTTCTGCCCCAATACGAAGACATTAGAATGGAGTTAAACATATATTTTGTTATCTTCATGGATCTATTTATATTG